TTCTAGTGAAGTGTGTTGTGGACACAAATTGATAACAATGACAACAACATTCTATATGTCACAATGAATGGCCTTTGGCTTCTCCTTTTGAAAAATGAGCTGTGACCCAGTTAAAAGGAGAAGTGCAAATGTTCATAAATTGCCATAAATCCTAAATGATACATTCGTTATCTGTATGAGGAAATATGAGATAAAAGCATGTGCAGCACTATAACAGCATTGCAATGATTTCTTCCTCCCCTGATCCACGTCTGCTGTGGATGACTTCACTCAGGTTGGGTGTTAACTTGCTCATTTTACCCGCGGGTTAACAAGGGGTTACTACACCCTATGTAGGGTCTGTAACAACAGCAACAACAGCAATACTTCAAGTATACACTTTTTCAGCCATAATTACCAGCTTGGAGGGAAATTCGGCTGAGAAACTGGATTAAGCATGACCGAATCTTCTTAAGTGGTTAGAAAATCAAAGCGCACTGAATGTTTGCCCCATACACATTGGCTTCGGGATGAAAGGCTTGGCCGAGGTTCGTGAACTAGCGCCGACACCAGGAAGGTTTTTTTTGTCAAATTATCTGCTTTTATACTACTAGAACTTTGAACAGTGCTGGTCTGTGTGTTTGCTGCTGAAACAGAATCTCAAATATGGCCTGGAACTGTGTGTCTTGGAGAAGGAACCAAACTTGTGGCCTGTTTGGCGCGGTTGCAGCAGCGCAGCCCTGAAAGTGGATTGTGCTGGTGCTGTGGATTAGCAGAAGGCAGAAGCAGGCAACATGTGTATGTGTGTGTGTGTGTGTGTGTGTGTGTGTGTGTGAAAAATATGTGTAAATGTCTGTGTGTTGCACTGGAGGCTAGCGTATGGTGAGGAGGGAGATTCGCACCTCCATGCACGCTGCTGAAAACCTGCTAACCGTTGCATTTACAACTCTCAGTATGGTGAGGTAAACACATTTTTAGTGACCCCCCTTCCCCCGCTCCGTTCCTCTAGAAAATTTTTAAGGAAAAGCAGCAAAAACATATCTAAATGCTATAGAGGAGGGACTGTGTTTAGCCCTAAAACAAACATTATGGATTGCCAAATGATGCTTGTCATCCCAATGCAAACAGTCCCTGATACCATCGCATGAACTTAAGCCTGTTGACAAAATGCAGAGCAAATTATGTGAGGTCACTGTTGCCACAGAAACTTGTACTAATATAAAAATTTACCCACTAAGATATTGCTAATTCTTTAAACACTAATTTAAGTGCTCTCAGTTTTATTAAAACCATAATATAAATACTCATGGGTATTTTTTATCACTCCTAAGAGGAGAAAAATGAATATCAGACCCAGATTTCTATCCCACAATGCATTTGGGGTTGTTAGTTGAAGAGGAGGAAAGGCAGACAGGGGAAGCTTTAAATCTGTGTCAAAAAGAGAGACATTAGGCCTGTGCAAGATGTTCATTTAGGAAACCTGGTGTGAAGGTAGGTACGTCGGTGGCCCATTAATTACAATAATCACATCGTAGGTGTTAGAATAATTCATTAACTCAGATTTAGTTAAGGCTTCATTTAATAAGTCCTTGTTGGTCAGGAGAATAAGAGACAGGAGAGAGGAAGGTGGGAGGGAGACAGAGATAGAAAGAAAGAAAGGGAGGGGAAGCTAGAGAGATACAGGGTGCCTATTAAACCACAAGGCCTGGATTGTCAATTTGTGTTTGAGCGTTCCACTGGGGGAAACGTTCCATCCTTTTTAAGAGATATATCATTTTATAAAAGACCAAAGGGAGGAAAAAGGAGACAAAAACTGGGGGGATGGAAGGGAGGTACAGATACAACGGAGGGATGGATGGAGGGAGTTACAGAGGAGGGGTGGTTGGTTAGGGAATCAGTTTTGCCTACTATATTTAACTGACCCATAAATCTGTTTTTAAATTCCCCTCCATTTAAAAACGCCCAGGCAAACTGAGAAGTGAAGGCAAGGGAAGGGAGGGTTTTTCTTTTTCGCGCCGGCTGTTAAGTACCACAATCCATGCATAGCCGGCGCTACATTTATCCTAACAATGTAATTGGTCCAGCTCCCTTGGCTGGTGGCTCAGTTACTGGCCCTCCCTCAGGCCCCCCAATGTGTGTGTGGGGGTGTGTGGGTGTGTGTGTGTGTGTAGTTGTGTGTGTGTGTGTATGTATGCGTGTGCAACCAAGGCCCTCCCTTCAGCCCTCAAATGAAAAGAAATCCCTGGCTTCCATTGAGACAGAGACTCACTTGGGGGCATGGCGGCTAGGCTAACGTGGCTAATGCTAACATAAACTGTACACACCTGCTAACAACCTCACTGCAGGGCTACGAGTGTGTTTGTGTGTGTGAGTGTGAGTGTGTGTGGGTACTAGGAAGCCAGTTGGGAGTGGGGTTGTGGATTGCACCATAGGCAACAGCTGAAAAGCAAAGGAGGCGGACACACACAAACAACACAGTACCCTCCCCCCCCCACCCCCACCCAACTCTCTCCTCCTCTCTTTTTTGTCTTTCTCTCTGACACACGCATGTACAGTACACACACACAGACATTCACACACAGCCACACACACACTCTCTGCATTGAGCCTCGGTGCAATTACTAGGAAGAGGACAAAAGCTTCGCAGACAGAGGCAACATAAGGGTCGGCTCGCTGTTTCACCTGGAGCTAAATATCTAAAGCAGAGGGGAGTCAAAAGTAAGGGAGGTGTGGGAGAGAAGGGAGGGCAGGGGGAGGAGGGGTAGGGGCGACGAGAGGGGAAGAGCAGAGGAAAAGGTGAAGAGAGGGGAAAGCAGGTGGTTAATCGCGACTATTGTGAGGGGTAGGGAATTTTTCCGTTTTGTCGGTCATTTTCTCATCATCATTTTTGATGATTTTCTTTTGATTGGAGCTTTAACTTGTTGAGATTGCTTAGGAGGAAGAATTTTTAAGAGATCACAGACGGGTGAATTGGGGAGGCTACAGATTAAATGAGGGGAGCTAGATAAAAGTAAGGAGTGAAAATGAGGAGATGATGAGAAGGGAGACTGGGGCAACTGAGAAAGGTTCAGGAGGATAAAGATAGATGTTGGGTAGGGATGAGAATTTGGAAGAAGGGAGAGTTGGGGAAAGGGGGGCGGGCGGCGGGCAGGAGCTGCATAATGAAGCGCTGGGCTAATTTGGAGAACTCCAGCTGGCTGAAGCCAGAGGGCCTGAGCTTCCACAACATCTGAAGCACCTTAATGCTGAACATACACACACACACACACACGCAATACTACAACTCACAAGAACATGCATGTGACATCACTGCAGTTGGGCAAACATACACACTTTATACACGGAACATCAAACTCTCTTTGACCTCAACCTGTTTTGCAATCTAACCTTAGCCAACATGGCACACACACACTGTACACTACAAACACTATGAAACATCAATACTTTGGTGTGGTGTGGCTCTGTGTGTGTGTGTGTGTGTGTGTGTGTGTTTGCTTGTGGTGATGTTTGCGTTGGAGATTAATAAGGA